CCGCCGAGGCCGCCAGCAGCGCAGCGGCGGCCGCCGAGGCGCGGCCATTTGCCTCAGGTCGGCGCCGGGGCGCAGCCGCCCCTCCATCACCTACCCCCGGCCCTCATCGCCCTCCGGCCGCGTCCGCCGAGCACAGCCGCCCCCGCGGGGAGCCGGCGGCCCGCTCCATCCCCCGCCCCGCTCCCCCGCTAAGCCGCTTAGGGGATTGCGGCCGCCGTCCCGCCGGGGAGGGGGGAAGGGGTTACCTGGCTCCAAGGTGCAGAGCAGGCGCGGCGCCGTCCGGGAGATGCAGCTGCGCTTCTTGAGGACGTTGCTGAGGATGGTCCCTACGCCGCCGCCCGAGCTCTGCCGCTTCAGGCATCGCCCGCCCCGCCGCAGCGAGCCCGTCAGCCTGTCCTGCCGCATGGCAGCCCCGGCCCGCCGCCCCCCACCCGTACCCCAAAGCTGTCCCTAGGGCGGCGGGGAGGGCAGCATGGCGGGGAGGGCGCAGGGGGGTCCGGCCGGGCCGGGAGGCGGCGGCTCTCCCGGCTGGCGGGGATCTGCAGTGCAGAGACAGCGAAGTCCAAGTGCGGGAGAGATGAGGGAGGACAAGGAGAGGAGAAAGGGAGGGAGAAAAAAAAAAAAAAAAAGGCTCCCGCCCACAATCCTAGCATCACCGCCTGAATAAACCAGCAGCCTCGCCTCTCCTCCTCCAGCACCACCTGGGATGCAGCAGCAGCTCCCGTTAGAAATACGGGCAGCCCGGCCCCGGGGGGGGAGCAGAGGGCTCCGTGAGAGCGGCACATCCCCGGGCTGCACACAGACCACCAGCACCGCACAGGTCTCACTCCTACAGCGGGCGATACTGAAACGTCTGACCAGAATTATAGGAGCTAAACATCCAGCAAAAAGCCTTCTCATGTGGGATTCTGGCCCACAGCTGGACGTGCCCCACCGCCCCGCTCAAAGCGCTGTCCCGGGAAGGAGTCCCACAAGCGCTACCAGACCATGGAAGGGGAGAGGGATGGATGTAACAGCACCTCAAAGCCAGGGCGGGCTGGGGTCCGGTCCTGCAGCGGGGACAGCCCCAGCAGCAGCAAGAGCCGACGGGCTGCACAGTTTCTGTGGTTTTCTGACTTTCCAGCACAGAGACTTTGAACATCCTCAACTAAAATATCAGCCTTTTCTGTGAATCTAAACTGCAAACTCACCCACTACTAATGATGTGCCATACATGCACTAAACAGTTACAAGAAGCTATTCAACAGCATTTTATCAGATGCGTTTTCCAGTGCCATCTGAGCTAACGGCACCTTAAAAGGCTTTGATACAGAATTTCAGTCTAGTGGTTTGATTGACAAGACGGAAAAGTATTTGCAATAATGATAGCTTTTACCATCTAAACCACTCAGCGTTCTGGTGGAAGGAGAGCACATTGAGCCCTACTAATGTGGTGTGATTAAAGACAAACCTATGAGAAGTCTGAGGCCACCTGCCAACATCTGTAGCTTTGAAACAACAATTTGCTCCTTTATTAAAAAAATGTTTTTCTCAGCCACTTTACAAATATAGGAAAAAACTGGCAACAGATAAGCCGCAAAGTCAATTATATAAAAGATACACGATATAAAACACAGAAGCAATCCTTTTTTTTTAAGATCAGCTATAGCTATCTTTAGAAGTTACTGTTAATTTTTCACAGAAGCATGATTTTGAGCATGCCTCTTTAAATATCTGGTTTGGCTTTGGAAAAAAGTCACTACATTGGAGCTGCTAGCTTGCACTCTGAATAGATAATTAAGTCTGTGTGTCGGTGGTTCTTTTTTTAACAAAGGTGACACTTCCCTGCTGATGTAGATGATGCAAATCACTTCATTTCAGTGCCAGCTGGAGATGATGATTTAGTGGTTAAAGCATCAAATTTGAAATGAATTTTTCTCCATAGGTGTACAGATTGTACCAACGGGACTGTAACAGAAACGTTTAAATACAGAAATAACCATGTAATCTCTCTAATATTATTCTCCTCTTGCTTAAGCAGCATACGCAAATAGCACCACATCGTTCTTGGATCATTTCAAGACTGGCTAGCCCAACATCACATACCGTTGCCCAAAGACTCAGGAACCACAGCCAAAGTTTCAGGAAGCACTAATTATCCATACAGTGAGAATCAGTCATCCCACTAAATTGAACATAATCATATGCTACCTTCAATTTTTAAACAATTGCAAATCAGCTCTAAGACAGACACCAATATTTAACTGATGAGGATAACCAGCTCTCGAAGTGAGAATTCAGTGTCCTCATTACTGCTATTTCTCCTACTTGTCATTTTGTCACTCTGTAACAAAACCGGAAACAATCAGGACAATCATTCTGTGACTTGGACCATGGCAAATTCTAATGACCAGCGTACCATTAAGGATGCCTTCCCACATGCCAGCCAATTAATGCAACATTAATCTTAAGAAAAAAAAAATGCAAAAATGAACTCCAGGAGACAAAATGAAGAAGCCAAGCCATACTAATGTGTTTGATGACTCACTGGATCATTAGCACGAGTGGATTTTAGAGACACAGATTAGCCTCCCATTAAGCATACATATACATATCTTAAGGGCAAGAGCCTAGCTTTTAGGAAAGCTTGGGGTTTAACCACTGATCAGGCAAAGTCTCCAATTTGCCTGTGGCGAGACACGTCCTGCACCACTCCCTGGACTTGCAGACACCTAGGCATGACACTACATGTCAGCAGCTTGTATAAATTCACCACTGTTAAGTTGTAAATAGTCTTCAATGATGGCAAAATTTCAGGATGTATGGAACACTCAAGCTCACAGACAAATCACTGTAATTTCAAGTTGGTGAAAATGCAACAAATTTGAACCCAAAGATGTCACCAGCCATCATGAATCTTGTTTGGTCCACCAGTTGCAGAGAGGTCTGACCATGTCCACAAGCCTTCACCTGCAATTACTGATAAGACAGATGATACTCAGAACGGACTTGGGGGAAAAAAAAAACAAACTGGTTTTGGCTAGCCCAGATATTTCAGCTCCAGATAATTTGTAATAATCAACCTGAGACTTTGCTTTTTTTCCCCTCTGTAGTTTCTCACTTATTCCCTCCCACACAACAGAGTCACTTTCTGAAAACCTTACCTCCTCATTTGGTAACTTTTTGCAGTCTTACCCCCACCTGCTAACTATGCTTTTTAAGGCATGGCATACTTCATAAGGAATATTAGTTCACATGTATAACTTGCTCGATTGTTACCATCGGCCGTACAGTGATCGTTGATCACTGCCAGGTACTAACCCAGAGAAACCAACTCCATTTACTTTAAACCTTCTCATTCATTGTCTCTTCTGTCTGCACCAGGACAATGAGGTAAGAGTCAGGCAGCTAGAAAAGGAGAATGAGCACAAGCAGATGGGGCAGCGACAGGAACAGCAGAAACGGGGCCACAGCCTGATCTCGCTGTTAAAGGACACATTTGTCTGCATGGAGCTTTAACTACCCAAACCCAGGATTCATGGAAGGTACAGTTCACTGCTTCTCTTCTGATGTGTGCAAAGACCGAATGTAATCAAAAGAGTAAAAAAGTCAAGACATCTTCAGCTGAGTCACTATCTTTCATGAGCTCCACATCCTCCCCTTTATTTCACATAAAAGCGTACAGACCTCCTGTAAATTTGATTCGCTTCACAACATCCCAGTAAAACGGTGAGAGTTTGGGGAGAAAGCTTTTTTGCCACAATCCTGGACACCTGTGCTAGCATAAATACTTAAAGCAACACATACCCATTAAAAAATATATTATAATAAATATATTGTGTGATAATATTGCCATACATTTCATCCCAAAGCATTTTAGAAATTATGTTTAGGCAGCATCACTACACCAGCTGCTGATACAGCAAATATCAGAAGCCATGTATATATCAATAGGATAAGAGGAAAAAAATCTATTGCAACCACAAAGCAAAACCTATTGTATTGACCACATCATAGGGCCATTGTCTGCCAAGTCCCACAGTTCCATATAGAACCTTTAAAAGCCCACAAAATGTTACCAGGAAACGTAATCCAATTACCATTTGGCTCAAAATAGCTCTGCAGAATTTAGAAAAATCAAGAAATTTTAATCTGTACCCAACACATGTTCTGATGTGCATTCTAGTTCATCATGAGCTTCAAAAGAGGAAAGATTTCACTTTCAACTTGTAAAGTATAAGAGAAAACACATGGAATGAAATATGTCCACTTTGGAAGGAAGAAAGGATAAGGCAGTTTGAGATTCTCCCAGGAGAATCTATTTTAAATACATTTAGTTAAATGCATTAACCCATCTTCACCACTGGAGCACAAAATTCCTACCCTACCCACTTCTAGACGTGTTCTATTAGTAAACATCCACCCTGCTAAAAACAGCTCCACTTCTTTCTGCTTGATCCTAAAAGCCTAAAAACAAGTGTGACCCACCTGGAGTTTCACACTCCTCCAATGCACGAGATGGAGCCACCTCTGACAGCTTGGAAAGAGGCCTCTGGCTCATTGGGTCTTTGACACCGAAGGATGCTACAGTGCATGTCCTTGAACCTGAGAGCCCAGCGCTCCTCCCACCTCAGCCTGCAAGGAGAGCATCACCTCCATTGCTCCCAGCACTGCTCTACAGGCTCTGTTTCCAACTCGCTGCCCCAGACACTGGAGTCGAGCAGATGCTCCGATCTAGCAGCTAGCTGTACCTCCTGTGGGAACCTCCAAAGCACCGTTTCGCATATTCACAGTTGCACGAGCACATGAGGAGGGAGTCTCTGGCTACGAGTGGACAGATCTGCATTAGGCAGAAGGAGAACCATTATTTTATACTAACAGATTCAGTTCTGCCACCAAATTGGCCTTTGCTCTCAGACAAGTCATCCAGGGTTGTCTTTATTGGACAAAGGAGGGTTCCAGAACCTATACAAAAGTGAAGTTTTGCTACTGTGTTTGTGCCTAGAGACGGTTCATTTTATGGACTTTCAACAAGTAGGAGTCAGGAAAACGGTGCAGCGTGTTGACGCGCCACAGTCATCAACACAGCATGAATATTTTAAACTTTTCCATTGCATTAGTCATCATTTGTATCACTTTGTACATAAATGTCACAAAAGAGGTCAGGACCTCACTGTGTCCTATCTTAGATATCACAGACAAAAAGAGCAGAGCCAATCCTTGCCTCCAAAGGAAAGGTATCAGCGCAAACATAAACTACACAATGGACAGGAAATAACACTTATGATTTCCAGAAACTGAGAACCAAGATGGAAATGATTAGTCTCAGGAAGCGTGCAGCAGAGCTGAGAAACAAATCCGAACATGCTCGATTCTGGTCCAATGCTTCCCCTTCCTCTAGACATCAGGCACACAGCCTTCTTACTTATTTTTCCCTTGAAAAACTGACAACACAGTAAGTACTCTTTAACAGCACATTCTCTTGAAGGAAGCCCTAAAACAGCCCCCTTGTTCTTGGAGCATTTAAACCAAACTAGAGGGTATTTTTGAGTATTCTGGAGTATTTTTGTATTAGAGAGTGCACTCTGGCCATGAGGCCTTGTCTACAGCTAATATGCCTGACAGAGAATATTGCCCA